TAAACAGAGGCTGGATGGTCATCTGTCAGGGATGCTTTAATTGGGAGTGTCTGCATGGCAGAATGGGGTTGGACTGGATGGCCCTTGGGGTCTCTCCCAACTCTAAGATTCTATGATTCCAAGATTCTATGGTTAGGTATGCGTGGTATAGTATATCTGTTCACAAACCTGTTATATACATCCTTCCAATAATAATTGTTTCCATATATAGTTTTTTGTGGGGTTTTCGGGCTGTGTGGCCATGTTCTAGAAGAGTTTCTTTCTGATGTTTCACCAGCATCTGTGGCTGGCATCTCCAGAGAAATATTTCCATATTTGTTATATTTACAGTATTTAATCTCTAAGTATTATTTGTATATATATTTTTACTGTTCTTTATTTCTTTAATCAAATCCTATTGCCACTGTTTCTCCCCATTTCTGGGTTAAGTAACATATTACTTTATACCAGCCATCCAAATATATTTGACAATCTTCCTTGTTTAGACATTTAGTGAGTTTATGTTTATCTTAATGTGTCTAGTAGTTTAATTAACCAATTGTCTATAATTGGTATTGTTTCTCATTTCCACATTTTAGTCTATACCATTCTGGCCACAGATGGCAGGTAAAATATTATTCTTCCTTTTTGTTTCCTCTATTCAATCATCTAACAGGTTTAGCAGAAATATATCTGGCTTAAATTCCAAATTTTCTTATAATATTACATTTACTATGTGATGTATCTATGACCAATTTTTCCCGCTTTCGAGCAGGTCCACCACATATGAAAAAGTATAGCCTTTTCTTTTAGATACTTTTCTATCATCTTGACTAGGTTTCACAAAAATTTATAACTTAAATTGTCTCTGCAATTGCTGATACAATGTTATTCCCACATTTCTCCATATGTTCTCTCTGTATTTTGTATGTACTTTTCCAGTATTCTGTACATATTCTGTATATGTCCATATTCTGTATATGTAGAATGCTTGAGGATGCACAAACCTGAATTCGCATGGCACATGCGCAGGGGGGCATTCCAAAATAGTGCTCCTCACACGTGCGTGCATGCGCACGATGGCGGCTGTAGAGCGCATGTGCGTGCGTGTGCACAAGCGCCCACACACACCCAGCGCCACTTCCCCCCCTCCGCCCCCTGGCAACAATGTTGCCGACCCCTGATCTAGACACTATAGTCCTATTAATGCAGCCTAGGGTCACATTGCCTTTTTTTAGCTGCCACATCACACTTTTGAATTCTGTTCAACTTGTAGTCCTCTAAGGCACTATTACTTCCCTTGATCTAGATACCATACTTCTATTAATGCGGCCTAAAATTGCATTGGCCTTTTTAGCTGCCGCATCACACTGTTGACTCCTGTTCAACTTGTAGTCCTCTAAGACTCCTAGATCCCTTTCCATGTATTGTTGCTGTCCATAACGTAGTTATACTTAGTTCATTAATTAGCTGATATAGAATACTGTTGTCCATCCCTTTTCGCGGACTTGGAATCTGTGGTCTTGCTCTTCATGGGAGGGACAAATGGCTACTGTTATAATGATGGCACACGCCCATGTGCCACTGCGCACACCTGCCACAGGCGTGCACCCCATTATTTCCTATGGGACTCGAAGATATGCGAGTCGCCATTTTCGCAAGGGGGTCTGGAACGGATCCCCTGCGAATTAGGTGGGCTACTGTACTGTCCCATATGTAGAATGCTTAAGGATGCACAAACCCGTACTTTTATGTAGAAACACACAAATGCAAGCCATACACATGCAAGCACATAGCTCAGAGTGGGGGAAAGGGGTGTCACAAAGACCCAGCCTTATGTCAGAGATGAAGAACTGGGAGCTCCCCACGGACCCCATCATGTCACAAGATATTGGAGTCTACTTTTCTCTCTAATGTGCTACCCTTTGGAGCTAAGGAATTTGTCGCAAGTGTGAGGATGAAAAACAAAGGCCAAGGGGACACAATTTGCATGCGAGTCTGCCACGTTCTATTCTATAAATCCTTCGGTCTTGGAAGGCTTAAGTCCATCTCAAGAAAGCCTGGGTGGAGAAGTCACTCTTTATTTCATCTTGGCACGCACAGAAACTCTTGGCTGGCTTTCTCTAATTTAAGTGATCAGGTTTTGGCTCACAAATGTAAGGCAGGAGCCAAGACATCACACTTACCCATGCAAAGCCTCCTGTCTTTCAATGGGGCTTGGTGACTTCAAGTGGACCATGGCCCTAATTGACAAGTGGTTCAATAAAGAAATCTGAACGAAGCCGGGGGGGGGGGGGGAAACTCCTTGATATTTTAGTTACTGGAGGTATATGAGCTATTATCATATATAGTAAAACCCAAGCTATTCGCCAAGTCCCAGTCCATGGGTGGCCCAAACGGTGGTTATTGTTCCATCTTAACCGGTAGTTGGTACAAATTCCTTCCTCCATCCCAAGGCTGTTCCAAGAATGCGGTGATGATGTACATAGTCAAATGCCAAGGTTTTGCAAGTTTAACACCAGCCAAGGCCAAAACGTAGCATCTGCTAAAGCTGCAGGGCCTTCTGGGAGAAATCAGCCAAGAGAATTAGCATCACAGGCCAGGAAGGTTAGCAGAATAGGACAATTTGCACATCATCCGAATCCTCCTCATACAAAGCCCGACTGGGTTTTCCCCCAGTACTCTTAGCACTGACCAAGGAATCTCTGCTGGACTGAGGATTGCCATCTCTGTGCCACTTCCTAGCTGTGGCTGCAATGAGATTGGCCAATGCTGCTGCTGCTGTGCCTTCAAGTCATTTCCATCTTAAAAACCTATCGTGGGCTTTTCTTGACGAGATTTATCCAGAGGAGGCTTACTTTTGCCTTCCTCTGAGGCTGAGAGAGTGTGACTTGGCCAAGGTCACCCAGTGGGTTTCCATGGCCAAGCAAGGATTCGAACCCGGTCTCCAGAATCCTGGTCTAACATTCAAACTGCTGGCCTTGCTCCAAAAGGTCAGATTAGGAGTACATGACCTTTTTCAATCCAGACAGCTATGTTTAATGTTTGTGAGTGCAGGAGCAGGTCAGGCAATTGAAAGTTCATGCGCATCCAGACATGAGCAGGCACAATCCTTTCCTAGGCCTAATCTCTAGAGGAAGCTCAGCTGACATTCCCTATCACAGACTGGGCTTGCTCACTCATGCTCTGTACAACTAGGAAAATCTGCACTTGTTGGCTTGACATGATAGCCATGTTTAAATATTGTGATAAATAAGTGATACTGAGGGTGGAGCAAACTTCTTTTCTGCTGCTCCAGAGCTTTGGACACAGAGCAATGAATGCAAACCATAGGAAAAGAGATTCCACCCAAACATTAGGAAAAATCTTCCTGACAGTAAGAGCTATTCGATAGTGGGAGATG